AAAGATATCAATAATTAGTCAATTGATAATATGTTTATCATATCATCACCAACATTTTGTTAGTGCACCACTTTTAGATATCTTTTACAGGAAATGAGATAAATTGGCTCAAAGTTAAGGGGTCAGCAGTTGCCGTGTAGCTCAGCCGACTTTGAACTCTGAACCCATATACCTCGGTTACTGTGAAAGATATCAAAAAATAATCAACTGATAAAGTTTTTATCATATTATCAGTATTAATTTATCCCTTTACCATTTTTTGTTATCTCTTACAAGAATCGAGATAAATTGGTTTGAAGTAGAAGTATAGATTAGCGGCGCCAACTGAGCATCCTGTTCCTCCAACGTTAAGTCCATATATCTCAGTTCCCATGGGAGATATCAAAAAGTAATAAACTACCAAAATGTTCACCATAATATCAGTATCATTTTATCAGTTTACCACTTTTTGATAACTTCTACAGTAACCGAGATGTATAGGCTCAAAGTTTTTTTTTATGGTAGCTAGGGAGATTCTATGGATTCTTGGATTTGTTTTAATAATGAAATCAATTCGCTTCAAAAAATTCATTGATTCGTTTTGAAATATTTTAAAAATATATTTAATTTTATAGGGAATTTGATCTCAATTATGAAAATGAGGATATCTGGTGGCTAGAGCGTATGCCTTTTTTCCATCCTGTGATCGTTCGGTTCCACATCCCTGGCAGACTGTCTGTAAAGAACTACATTCTGGCGCCAAAAAATATTTATAACTCACAGCGTAATTTCAAACACGAGTGATTGGGAGCTCCGAAATCGATTCTGAACAAGTCAGAAGAAGAAGACGCAGCTGCCGAATACGACATCTGAGGAATCTGATTTCGGAACATCTTTTACGTCCTAAAGTTGAATTATAACAAATGTTATCGATTGGCAAATTAATACTTATTGTCTATTCAAAATAATCGTTTTCTCTTTTTTCTTAATTTTTAGCAACAACATTCCAGTTACCTGCCAAATCGGTGACGCGTCCCCCCCCCCTCCTTTTTGTCCCCTTCCTGTCGCTTATATCATTTTTTTTTGTTTCAAATTACCATAGTTTTATTTTTTTGTTTGCCTCACTCTTTTT